TCCTTTGTGCTGATTGGTGGAAAGAGGACTGTGTTATCAGCGGCGGCAGAGACTCGAAGCTTCGGATTTCTTCTGGAGTTCCCGTGCTTTGAAAGGTGGTTTAGGAGTAAAGGTTTGATTCTCTGTGGTCGAGAGGAGCTAAGAGCTAACTGTACCGTATGCATGGAAAAGGCTTTGTGATAGATCTCTCGGTTTTGATTTGTGGTTAGAATCTGTATGCAACAATCTTGTGCTTATCAAAGGGAAACTTAGAAATTTTTGGCATCATACTCTCTCTCTATCGTTTCTCTATCATTTCAATCTTATCGGATGTCCATGAAGGGATGTCATCATGTCTGTCGTGGAAGAAATTATGCAGGGGATCACCTAACTTAACAGGAATACAATAGCATATTGTACATTTAGATCGTCACATTACCAATAAGGTCTACTATATCATATAGATTGATGTACGACAATCAAATTAACGTGATTAATCTCTCGCCTAGGCCCGATTAATAGTTGGGTAGGAAGAAATTGTTCCGTCTAGCCTTGCGCGATTGATCTAGGTGTGCTAAACGATTAATCTCCATGGAAAACGCCTAATCGGCGCCTAGGTGCATTTTCACTCTGGTGGACAACGCCCAAAACAACTCATAAAGGGGGAAAGTGTAGCCTTTTGTGGGAATCACAAACCCTATTCTATTTCCCATTTTCATTCGACCAGTCGCTCCCCCTCATCGACCAGCAGCAAGATCCCTCCTCATGGTTGGCGACTTGGGGTGTTTGGGATTGTGGAAATGGGTTGTATGTGTATATGAATGGATGAATAATGATATGGTGACTTGGGTTTTTGTAGAATATGGCTTATCTATCATATATTTTTAATAACGTTTGATCTCGCCGAGGCAACGACTAATCGGCTTGGGTTTTCCTTCTTTTTTGGTTTGATGTACAGCTTGAGGACAAGGTGTGTTTGAAGGGAGAGGATTTGTAACAAACCTAGCCAGGCTGGCATGAGTGGCGTGTAAAGTACACCCATGTATAAATAGAGAGAGCTAAATGGTAACTGGTCAGCTTTTACCCAATCATTCTTCGTGTAAATACTTTACCAATAGCTAGCAATAAATCAAGAACTCTCCTTCCCCTGTATTCTCTTCTTCTCCATTTTTGTCCAACTCGCCAAATTCCCAGAAACGATCTTTACAATGAATAATGATATTGTGACTTGGGTTTTTGTAGAATATGAGCTTATCTATCATATATTTTTTTCAACGTTTAATCTCGCCTAGACAACGACTAATCAGCCTGGGCACTGGGCGGTGCTTACTCGCCTAGATAGCGCTTAGCGTCTTCTTCAACATTGACGACAATCGACACTTATTTATGTGCAGCACAAGACTTGGTACTCATTTCTTGACCCACACGCAATAGCTCTCTCCAGATGTAGCCACCTGGAAGCTCGAAGGAACCAGATTCCCGAGATCCATTTTGGGCCCAATTTTCATCATCACATTGTCATCAATCCCTGCTACATAAAGGTCCGAATCAGCTGCCAAGATGTTCACTTTGCTTGTTGAGGTAATCCCAGAACTGTTCCTTATTGCTGCCAATCTACCAATCTCCGCCTTCAACCCCCAATCAAAGAAGTGATCGTAAAACTGCAACGAAGATAATAACAATACTCTGTTACCAACTTCCACCAATTATGGCCCCGAAAGCAAAACAAACGGCGAGAAAGAAAAAACTTACAATCGATGGAGTCCCAGGATGAGTAAGGATGTAAGCATATCCCTGCATCACTTTATCCGACGGGAACGGCCACAGCTTCTGGGTCGAACCGGTATCGTGATTGTCTATAAACGTCACAGCATTTCCGGGCAGCAACCCGATCAACCCGGGCGGGTTCCCATTCCCATCTCTCAACCTCCACAGCTCCCCTTCCACGGCCGCCTGCAGAATCCCTTTCGTCGTGAAATCGAAAGCCGTCACGGCCCCGCCGGCGGCCTGAACCCAGTCTTTCAACGCCCCGCGGTGAGCGTCCTGATTCCAATTAGGTTTCCCGTCCGGCCCGTAAGCCAGCGAGTCCCACTTCTCCCCCACCGCGAAATCCGGCTTCGTCCCTGCCATGTAGGTTCCCATTATCTCCGGCGCGTAACCTTTCACGAAATCGAACCTCCAGCCGTCGTATCCGACGTCGGTTTTCAGCCAATTCATCCAATCCGTGAGCTCTCTTTGGACCCGGGGGTTGAGATGGTCCATATCAGGGGCAGGGGGGAAACCTTCCCCTGAATCAGGATTCCCCTGCCCGTTGGAATACTCCGTGTCGTCGCTGCAGATGAACGACGGCCCCCAATCGAGGCGGCCGTCGGGGGTTCCGCCTTCGAAGATGGCCCAGATCCCTCTGTCGTCCTTCCGCTCCGCCGTCCGGTGGTTGATCACGATGTCGGCGAGGGATTTGATGCCGGCGTTGTGGAGATTGGTGATTAGGGATTTGAGTTGGAATTGGTTGCCGTAGCTGGAAGCGTTTAGGTCGTAGAGTCTTCCCGGCATGTAGCCTTGCGGGGAAGCTGATTGGGACGGCGGGGGGAGCCATACGTGGGTTATTCCGGCGGCGGCGAGGTCGGAGATTGAAGTCTGAAGGGAGTTGTACCACCCGCCGGTTTTGCCGCTGGATTCCCAATTGAATCCCTGGAAGAGGAGGGCGGCGGATGAGGAGGAAAGGAAGGAGGAGAAGATGATGCAGAGGGAGAAGAAGAAGGAGAAACAGAGTGTGGAACTGTAAAGCTTCATTTTTGCTCTGTTTCTGTGTGCGCTTCGTTGGTTGATTGGTTTTGCTTTTGGGCGGGGTTTATTTATACTCTGGACAAGGGTAATGTGAACGGTAAGAGGGACCGGTTAGCCTGACTACCCCTAAAGGGGTAGTCATTTTCGACACCCATCATTTGATTGGTCCATTGTAGATAGTCCTAATCTAAGATTAATTGCTTACAGTTAGTAATTATTGATAATTAATTGCATAGAAAAAGAGAAAGAAGTAAAAGTGGCGACCCCACCCATAATTTAAAATTCATTCCCTCTTACCTTTTTCACTTTCACCGTTTCAGTTCCCCTTCCCTTCTATACCTCTGCCTCCAGAACCCACAAAGAACGCTTCGCCGCCGACTCATAAAATCGCCGCCGTAGACCCTAATCTCCTTCACAAACTGCGGTCGCCCACTCCCTCCCGTCGGAAGTCGTCTCTCTTTCATCCCGAACCATAGACTTCAGCACCCGCCGCAACCCTTCGACGCCGACTCATCACTACCCCTTCGCAACCCTTCGCAACCCTTCGGCGCCGCCGTTAAACATCATCTCCTTCACAAAACAGCCGTCGGCCCGTCGGAAGTCGTCTCTCTTTCCCCCCGCTACATCGACTTCGAACCCGCTTGAGCGATTCCCGTCCACGATAGTATAGCTGCGACAGAGGCTATATATTTAACGATAGCGGCGCCGGCGTGATTTTCCCCTTTAATTCATCCTAAACTGAGGCAAGTATACTCCGAATTCTTTTATTGTTGTCGTCTCTTTCATTACGGCATTGCATGTTGTTTTCTGATTGTCTTGCGCAGTGCATGAAATTTTTTGATTGTCTTGTGCAGTGGTAGTTCTATCACAGTAGTGGTAGTTCTATCACTGTTGTGGTAGTTCTATCACTGTAGTGGTAGTGTGGTATATCACTCTAGTGGTAGATGTGTAAGTATAGTTGTATATCTAGCATTATAGTCGTAAATCCTTCACAAGCTAATGATTGTCTATCGCTGGATTCGTTAAAATATCACTAAAGTGGTAGTTAGTTGTAAAGTTTATGTTTATAGGGCTATCACTGCAGTGGTATTTACAACTTATTTTTTGTTCTTGAAAGTACCACTACACTGGTACGTTTGTTAGTTCGTAGAATTGACTTATCTTCCAATTAAACCAGGAATGGCAAGGACAAAGAGAACTGGTCCTGAGATGCCTAATGCTTGATTGTGGAAATAGTTACAGACATGCTCGAGGACGAGAGTAACCTAATGCTTGAAGAGTTGACAGTTAAAGCTTCTGAGGCACACGAAACATTGTTCACTGCAGCTACTCAAGTGACCCAGCCATCCTTCGCCAACTGATTCTTTTTTGCTTATGATTCTAGTGGACTATTTGGTTATTTGAATTTGAAGGATAATTTGGTCTTTGTTTACATTTCGGACACCCGTGTTGAAACAACTTTATTGATCCTATGGATGGGAATTACCTATTATGGTGTCTTGTTTAATATTTGTGTTGTTTGAAAAACAGTTGGTAATTATAAACGCGTACCAGTACTCTGGTACATCTATCACTGCACTGGTACATGTACCAGTGCACTGGTACATCTATCACTGGACTGGTACATGTACCAGTCCATTTGTACATGTATCATTCTATGTGATAAATATAATTCAGAATATAACCAATATACGTTATATAATTTATCTCGCTCAACCACAGTTCTTTAAAAATGGAGCACAGTTCATAAAACGAAAAAAAAAACAGGATTCAACAAATAGAAGTTGACAGGGGATCACTATACTGGTACATCTATCACTCTACTGGTAAATGTACCAGTACTGTGGTAAATATATCACAACTTGAAACATCGTTATTTAATATTTGTGTTGTTTGGAAAAAGTTATAAACGCGTACCAGTATTGTGGTACATCTATCACTCCACTGGTACATGTACCAGTCCACTGGTACATCTATCACTGGACTGGTACATGTACCAGTCCATTTGTACATGTATCATTCTATGTGATAAACATAATTCAGAATATAACCAATATACGTTATATAATTTATCGCGCTCAACCACAGTTCTTTAAAAATGGAGCACAGTTCATAAAACGAAAAAAAAACAGGATTCAACAAATAGAAGTTGACAGGGGATCACTATACTGGTACATCTATCACTCTACTGGTAAATGTACCAGTACTGTGGTAAATATATCACAACTTGAAACATCGTTATTTAATATTTGTGTTGTTTGGAAAAAGTTATAAACGCGTACCAGTATTGTGGTACATCTATCACTCCACTGGTACATGTACCAGTCCACTGGTACATGTACCAGTCCACTGGTACATGTATCACTGGACTGGTACATGTACCAGTCCATTTGTACATGTACCATTCTATGTGATAAAAATAATTCAGAATATAACCAATATACATTGCCAAGATAATGATAATGATAATGGTAATATATGAACATCTGCCAGAAATCAACAGACGGCCGGCCAAGTAACGAATCATCTGCCGCCGCCGTCTCCGCCAGAGCCACTCCCAACTCCAACTCCTTTCCCAGCTCCGGCACCACTGCCGACGCCAACTCCAACACCAACACCAATCCCAATGCCAAATCCACCACCGGCTCCTCCGCCACGTCCGCCACCGAGACCACCACCTGCACCTCTACCGCCCCCACCACCACCGAGACCACCACCTGCTTGCTCCTCCGCCACGTCCGCCACCGAGACCACCACCGCCAGCCGTGTAGTGATGAACCAGAGCTATGGTTCTCCACCGCGGCGGCGATGGGAAATAGCAGAGACGGGAAGCGGAAATAGAAACAAATGGAAAGGGAGTAGAAACGCCACTCTTTCCATCCATGGTTCCAGCTAAATTGCCCCACTTCCCGTGCATAATTAATATGCCAGTTATTCTTTTCTCCATCCATATTTATTTTCTCCAGCCATTAATAGTTGCCTGATAATTAAGTATACTTTGGACCAATCAAATGGGGGGTGTCGAAAATGACTACCCCTTTAGGGGTTAGCATAGTATCCTATCCCACGGTAAGAATTATAAACTCGAGCTATGGACATTTCCCTATCTTCTCATTCCAATCTATCATTTAAAGAGAATTATTATTTTGATGAATTTTAAAGAGAATTATGCAATTCAAAAGTATAAAAGATTTGGAAGGTTGTGCAAAATAAAAGTAGAAATTGAGAGGCGAAATGTTAGGTTCAAAAATGTTATGCACACTATTAATGCATGTCAAACAGAAAGGGTGTACGACGAAATTAAAGAGTGCAAGATATCTTATTTGTTCTCGTGACATAAAAACTGTATGATAAATCGGGAAGTACAAGGTTTTGTTGCTTTGATTAACTAGTGCAAAGGTGTCGTACAAAACTTCAAATGCCACAACCACCCTCCAGCATAGCTGCATAACTAAGAGCTCTTTCTTCATAAATGATCAAATCGTAATTAGCTATCCTCTATCTATATTTTTCTTTATGTGTTCATTTGGAGAATACGTGTAGTGTAACGGTCGATAGCCTATGCGAATCCATGAGCATGCCCGGCCCTGCAAATCTCTAGAATCATGTATGTCCTCAGCCGATGATTCTCAAACAATTATCCTCCTAGATTTGATCCAAAATATAGGACACATTCGACATGTGTTTAGTCACTATTAAAAATCTTGTATAAATACACTTAACCTAATGTATGACATTGTCACTTATTTTAATTAACTAATGATTCAGATAAGCACATTAAAGGGTTCTCGAAACACTAACCGCAAAGGGTAAACTTAATTTTTTTTATCGCAATCTATCTTCTTCTTCTTTTCTCGGAGAAAATAAACGACTACTAAATTGGAATTTGGCCAAACCAATGGACCATTCTTGTGTTCAATATCTGATCTAACTAGAGCTACTAGCTAAGGATGTATTTAATTTGCACTTTTAAGAATTTCTTGTGTTCCCACCATTTTTTAATTCTGATTAAAATGGGTTCTAGACAACAACAAAAAACATTCTCTTGTATCGTGAACCTAGGGGTGTGCAATGGTCAGGTCCGTATCAGACCACATCGAATCAAATTGATGTTAAGAGCGGATAAGACCGAATCGAGTATATGATGTCTGATCCTTGATCCCAATAAAATTTATAATTAATGAAAAAATTACAAACCGAACATATATTGAACCGGACGAAATACAAGGATGGTCCAATCGTTGGTCTAAAATGTTCTTCACTAATATATCACGATTCCCATGAATTTGACCGGACCGAACCGAACCGTTGTACACCTCTAATCGTGTATCATGGGTTGAGGTACTTGAGGATGAGATCACCTATTGTCTGATTGGTGCAGCCACTCCATGATGATGTTTAGGTTTTTTCTTCACGTAAGGATTGGAAAAAGGTCACAGCTTTCTCACTGAGGTTTCCAGTTTTATGGATTGCGCCTCAGTCGTTTCACATTTGCATACGGGGGAAATGGAAACTACTAACGGATGGAGTGCGGTTTTAGTCTACTGAGATGGAGACTCGCAATTTGGCCAAGGCATTGAACAACCTTTTGTTTCGATGGATCTATAATTTCCCAACGAGAATGATAAAGCCGCACATTGATAGAAGTTAAAAAAAATAGATCATTTGTTTTTTGTTGGATAAAAAAAATAGATCAGAACTTGTTAGAAATTTTGTTGGATCACTTCGAGAAAAAATACCAACTAGATAAGATTTTAAAATAAGTCATAATGCCAACGAGATCTGTAATCCAATGATAAAATTGCATAGAATGCGTTGTTTGGAGGTTTCGGATTGAATATCTATGACCATCGTTTATTGTTCTCTTATGCTCAAAAGGTTATAGGTTCAATATAGATGATCGTTTGTTGCTCTCTCCCTGGTAGCATCCTACATGTCACAACTATTAACGATCCGGGTCGATAATTGATAAGCCGAGAGTTCGCCTGATCATCATAAACAAGCCATAACATGATGTATAACTAACCGAGCAAAACTGATAATTTTATTGATAAGATACCAATTACATATATACTCTACTTGCTTCCAACTGCTAGCAGAGAATACGGAACCCATTTACCCATCACCCCTAATAAATAGCAACCCACTTCTAACTAACAGCTTAATGTTGTTGACTCAGCTGCACAGCAGCTCCCTTGACTACGACTAATCCCAACAAACAAACTAAACTGACCCAAAACAACATAATTTAAATAGAGCTCAATCAATCAGGCCCAACAATCCTCCCCTAAACTCAAACCATTTCTAGGATGAGTTTACCAACTTCAGCAGCAACAACTTCAGGATTCTGCAGTAGCTAAACAAGATAACTCCTAGTTTAATATGAAACACGCATCTCACTAAACTGCACTTGACAAACCACGTAAGCATGACTCTTCCAATTACTACTAGAAAATCCTCCAATAGAATCAAAACAGCTTCAGGTTTGAGTTTAACCTTCCAACAACAATCTGCAGCACACTCATTTAGAAGCAACACCAACTGATGCAAACTTTGATTCCTCACAAACTCCAAACAGGTCTCTAATTTTGATTCCTTGCAAACTCCAAACATGTCTCTCAATCTAACTGCTGCAAATTCTGATCCTACTGATCCATCACAAACTTCAAGCAGACCTCTCAACCTTTCAACAAAAGCTACAAATACATCCTCAATCCAAATTTCTTCCTCAATCATAGTTTCTCCTCTTATGCTAGACTTCACTTCCGTTTCTTTAAGTACCCTTATCATCCAGATGTACTTATCCGGACAATATGTTGCTGCAACCAATCGAGCTTCTGCTATAGACAACTTCACTACAGGTTCTTTCTTAGGAGTCCACAAAACAATTCCACTTGCTAGGCAAAACACACAACCGCTTGGCCCTCTTCTGATAATCTTCTTTGTTGTCATCATTAACATTCTTGTTGTAGTCAAATACAACATGTTGCGAATGAGCTGCTTGTAATGCGTTGAATCATTAGACTTCCATCTCCTTTCCGTGAGAGCTTAGCTCCTTTGAGAAGTTGAAGCTTGTCCACCCTCTCACTTGTGTACTTTAATTGCTATATAAAACCTACTTGACCACTTTGATTCATCATCCTCCCAATATCAGTAAGTTCAAAGATAGCGTGTAAAGGTGTTTTAAACTCCCTAACCAGACCCTTACTGCTGCTAGCTGCTTGTTTCAACTCACAGAAGGCCTTGCTCAACTTGCATGCTTCAACTTCCTCCCCTGCAACAACAAATCCTACTGGTTGCACCACATTCAATTCTCCAATCAATTTCTCATGAAGAGATTCACTCTTCATATCAAGTTGAAAAATAGAGAACCATTGCTATTAAACTTTGCATTAGATTCCCATTTAACTACTACATCTTCATACTACAGCGCAAGCTTCATAGTCTGTCCATATTTATCCCCCTTTACTGCTTCTCCAACACACCAAGGATCTTCTACCTTCAGAGCACAACATCTAATTATGGCATTTTCAGGTACAAAATCCTCTACATAACCCATTCTCTTTGATCCAGGAAGACCCAGCGAATGGTTGTGTTCTTCAACGTCTCCTGTGAAAAAAGGAGCAACAACTAATGGTGTCACTGGGGCACCTGTACAAGCAATTGAGCCGCATGGAGTGGTGAGAGCTTCCACTGAATATATTAAAGTGGTATCCTCCTCATTCACTGCATCTGAATCTGCTACATTATCTGTACATCCATCCCAAATCAGTTTAGTTACCACTGAAGTAGTTTCTAAGTCCCACGTCAACCCTTTTCCTTCATTAAAGGTTTCACTAAAGATAACATCTCTACTTTTCCACCTGTCTGATCCTAGGATAATGGAAGCACACAAATCATCATGGACAAAGTTACACTTCTTCTCTTTTCCCCACTGATTTCTCTTAGGAACTGATTTTTTATGTTGTTTTCCAACTAAGCAGGTTGAATGGACTTCAACAATTCCTTTAGTATTGGGAATACCTTTCACCATACCATATTGCTGCAATTTCATCAAACCTTTAAGACTAGGATATTCAAATCTCCTTTCCCTCAGATTTGAGACTCCTCCCTCAACTTTAACAGTATACAAGCACTGAGATTCCACCTTTGCAGCTGCAACAGTAGTGAAATAAGGGTTTGAATGCAGTACAAACATATTTTTAGTCTTGATTCTTGTTTGAAACAAGAAACCTTTATCAACCTGAAATATTTTTCACATTCCACGTTTGATAAGAAAACACAAACCCTTTTTCTGCATTTGACCAATACTTAACATATTGGTGGTCAAACCTGGAACATACAGCACATCCTGAATGATCAATGGTACTTGATCCACTGTCATTTTGACAGTGCCTTTGCCTTGGACCCTTAATCTTGTACCATTTCCCATTTTGACAGAATAGGTGAAGCCACTATCAATAGAAGAGAAACACTTTTTATCACCACTCATATGATGTTTGCACCGAAAATCTAGAAACCACAAATTTTTAGCTTCTCCTGTTAGCTCCAATGAATTCATCAAAGCCTGCACCTGTTTGTCACATTCAGGTAAAACATGCTTTCCCTGCTGCTCC